CCACAACCCTGCCAGACCTTGCCCTAATTACTGGGAAGAAACTGCCAGATAGCCTCCATGTTGTAGAAACAAACTAGAAGTTAGTTGGAGGGCTTTGGATGTGCTTTACTGATAACAGTGGAGTGCAGTAGGTAGCAAAGGCCCTTGGATGGCCACCAGGCATAGCAACCTTTCTGCAGCTGCAGCTGACCAATCAACTCGGGACACGTTCCTCTAGCCCTGAGTTGTGCCAATCCCAAGACTGTTACTATGCAACTAGCAGACCCCCAGATACCACCTTGCTCTATCCCCAGTGTATGCCCTGCCCCACTGCTGCTTGGGGTCCCTCCTACTCCACCCTCTGTGTTGGACGGACAAACAGAGGATGCAAGTTAACATGTAAATTAAAAAGACTCTTTGCTTTTGCATCGGATCTGGTCTCTTGGTGGTTTTGGGGGTTCAGAGTCTGTGCACAACACCAACCTCAAAAAAATGGTTAACATGAAGTAACCTTATCTTAACCAGTTATTTTTCTATGATTCTATCTTCCCACTCACAACTTGCAAAGAGTACATTTGAAACGACTAATCTGCTTTTTGTCTTTTGTTTCTGCTTTCTTCAGTCTTCAATATTTATAAAATTAACATCCTTTGTTCAGCTTACCAGAATATTTATTATACTGCATGGAATACTGCCTTAAAGAAATAAAAGAAGGAACAAATTGCAAACATAAATTTAAAAGGCAGAATGGGAGCAGGGCGGTGGTGGCACACACCTTTAATCCCAGCACTTGGGAAGCAGAGACAGGTGAGTCTCTGTGAGTTCAAGGCCAGCCTGGGCTTCAGAGCAAGTTCCAGAATGGCTAGGGGTTGTTACACAGAGAAACCTAGTCATGAAACAAAAAAACAAAAGAAAGAAAGGAAGTAAGAAAGAAAGAAAAAGAAAGGAAGAAAGAGAGAGAGAGAGAGAAAGGAAGGAAGAAAGGGAGGAAGGAAGGAAGGAGAGTGGAGAGATGACTCAGCAGATAAGAGCACTTGCTGCTCCTGAAGAAGACTTGATTCAATTTTCAGCACCTACATGGCAGCCATCACACGTGCAGGCAAATACTCATGTGCTTAAAATTTAAAAAAATAAAAATCTTTCTTAAAAAGGCATAATGGAATATAACCATGCCATAATTATATGCTGACTACAAGGCACTTTTTTTTTCATCTACTTACTTATTTTTAATATTTTTGTGTATGGACAGCATTCTTGTTCTTGTTTGTTGGTTGGTTTTGGCTTATTTATTTATTTGTTTTTGAGGCAGAGTCTTTCTATGTAGTCCTGCCTATCCTGGAACTATGTTATCCAGGCTAGCTTCAAATTCACGAAACTCCTTCTGACCCTGCTTCCTGAGTGCGAGGACTAAAGATATGCACTACCATATGTAGCTTGACAACATTCTTATAAAGCATAACAAAAAATCCTTTATTAAATCTAATTGTTGTGTTTATGTACCAAACGCACCCATGTAATCAATATATGAATATGGCAATGCACAAAATGAAATTTTCTGAACTATAAAGGAAAATGAAATGATTTCATCTGTAGGAAAATGAATGTAACTGGAGATAATCATAGTATGTGAATTAAGTCAGTTTCAGAAAGACAAAGTTTTCTGTGGGTCCTAGATTTTTATAGATGCATAAAATTGCATATATACAATGCCACAGAAGTAGAATCAGAATTTTTTGGGGGATGAATGAAAGTGGGGAAAAGTTAAAGGGGGATAGCCAGCTATGGGGCAGGTGTTGCTCAAAGTTTAATATATACTTGCATGAAAATGGCCTTATATAACCTGGTATAATAAAATAAAATACAGAAAAAAGTGCCTTGTACTAGAGGTCTTCCTGATGAATTCCACCAAATATTTATTTACAGAAGAAATAACACCAATTTCCCCCCAAAACAGAAGGGAATAGAATACTGCCAAGCTTTTTTCTATGAGAACAATAGTATCAGGATACCCAAACTACATTAGAAAAGAAAATAATAGTTCAGCACTCATTACGAACACAGATATCATAATCTTAACAATATACTATATGAATCCCACAATGGATTTGCACTATGACCAAGTGAGCTCTAGCTCAGTAATGCAAATTTTTATATCCAGATAATCATTAACACATTTACGAAACTATCAATTTACATTAAAATCAATTAATGTAATACAGTATATTAATGTAATAAGGAACAAAAGCCACATGATCATGTCAATAAAACTCAAAAGCACTTGACATTAAGTCCAACACCCTTCCCTGATTAAAAAAAAAATCAATCACCTAGGAATAGAAAAAAATCTTCTACCAGCACAATCAGAAGTTGAGATATGCCAGGTGCTGGGGTTTAACCATTTTACATTTATTAAGTAATTTAATTCTCACATCAACTCTATCTGCATTTTACTGATGGATAAGCTGAGGTGCATGACATTTAAATAAAATCTTTTGCATTAATAGATAGTAAGTCATAGCGCTAGGATTTCCACACAGAAATTCCAACTATGGAGTCCATGCTCATATTGGCATTTTACTGAACTGGTTTTCAAAGTATGTGGAATAAATAATAATGGTGATAAGTAAATTGGATTTCCTTAACACTAACAGTTTGGCCAGGCATAGTGGTACACACCTTTAGTCCCACCACTCAAGAGTTAAAGGATGCCTGGTCAAAGGAAGGCAGATCTCTGTGCGAGTTTGAGGCCAATCTGGTCTACAGAGTGAGTTCCAGGATAGCCAGGGTTGTTACACAGAGAAACCCTGTCTCGAAAAACCAGACAACAACAACAAAAACCCAGCAACAACAACAAAACAAACACCTAATGTTTTGATCTGTAAATAAACCTAATTCATACAATGTAGTTTATATGAGCAACCATAATACTTGCAAAATCAATAATAAATCCAATAATGCTAGATTACCACTGATATTTAATTATAATTTAAGGCATAAAATTGGCAATTTTTTATATAAGTAAATATAATTTGTAGCATTAGAAAATATTCTCAATTAGTTCTAAACTTTGATGGAATTACTAACAATTCAATTTCTATTTGTCACTAAAATTTGACTCATAACCACAATTTGTAGTAACCATAACGTAAATATCAATAACTATGATAGCCACTGAAATATTAACAAATTGATTTTGTCTCAGCATAAATACTAATCATATATTGATAACCATAATTTGTTACAATTGCAATAAATTATGATAGTTGTTATATCAGATATTAGTAATGATAATTTCTATTTGAGTACATTTTAAAACAGACACTTCTAATTTGTATGCAAGCATAATTTGTGATACAGTTACATATACTTTTTGATGATGCTAGTAATGATTATTTTATTTCTATGTAGCCAGGCTGGCCTCAAACCCATACTACCACATCAGGCTGATGATTTGATTTCTAGTAAAAATTCTAATTTAATTTATAATATTGGTACCCATAATGTATATCAATTACAATGATTTGTAGTATTCATGATCATTTGTTTTTAATAGTGATTATATTTTATGGTAATAAACAATGATTCGATTTCTATTTATAAATAATTTATAAGACTGCTATTGAAAATTTTTATCACCAATTCTAGTTTGAAATATGTGTAAAATTTATATCAGGAGGAATATTTCTTTTTATTTTCTTAAAAGACTTATTTATTTATTATGTATACGTGTATCTCTGCAGACCAGAAGAAGGAACCAGACCTCATTACAGATGAGGTTGCTAGGAATTGAACTCAGGTCCTCTGGAAGAACAGCCAGTGCTCTTAACATGTGAGCCATCTTTCTAGCCCCCAGGAGGAATATTTCATAATGTTAGTAACAATTATTTGATTTCCACATGGAATGCAATATGATTCATTATGTTAATTCTGCTAATTCACACTAGAAACATCTTGTAATATTGGTAATAGAGAACAGCATGAAAATAGGATTTAAAAAATATTGGTATCAGTGACTTAATATATGTATCATTAGGAAATTTGTGGTCTCAGTTGACCATCCCTCACCAAAAATCTAAAAGAGAGACTTGGGTCTCTAAGACCTAATGTTAAAGTTACCTGTAAGCCCCACCTGTCCAAGGACCAGGTAACCTCCTGGGATGTTGGGAGTTCTTCGAAAATAACAGCCAAAATACATGGGAAAATACAGTGGCCATATATGTTTGTCCTTAAACAGCCCCTACAACACATGTCTTGTGGCCACTCTGCTGGGAATTTTAGAGGGTGGTCCTGACCAAAGTCCATCCTTGGAAGTATTCATTAAAGCTTGCTTCAAATTTGGCTCAAAATTGTGTAACTTGTTTTTGTCTTGTGGATCTCAGGATTAACGGGTCCCAGGCTAGAGAAATGGCTCAAGGATTACGACCTCTTACAGAGATCTGAGTTTCAGTTTCTAACACCCACATGATAGCTCATAACTATTTGTAACTCCAATATCAGGGGATTTGACACCCTTCTCTGGCCCCCGTGGGCACTGCATGAATGTGGTGCATGCACACTTACAGGCAAAGCACACATATACATAAAACAAAAATAAATACAACTTTAGACTTAAGTTTTTTCAAAATTTAAAAAAATCTGAAATCTGAAGCATTTATGATTTTCAAGCATTTTGGACAAGGGCTACTCAACCTGTATAACAGACTTAATCACAAAGCAACTCCATTCTTCTATACTAGTGGGTTTCAACCTTCCTAAAGCTGTGAACCTTTAATATAGTTCGTCATGTTGTGGTGATCCCCAACCATACAATTATTTTGTTGTTAGTTCATAATTATAATTTTGCTACTGTTATGAACTGTAATATAAATTTCTGGTATGCTACTTCCAAAGGGGTCATGATCTACAGCTTGAGAACCATTACTCTACAGTTCCCACCTGTAGCACTCAGATATACTACCAATACAGCAATTGGTAATACTGCAGTTGTTCTGACTTTTTCCCAGTCTTTCTCCCAGGCTTACCATCTCTTTGTGATTGGGGTAGAAAGTCTGATCAATCAGAGGGAATTCCTCTGTTCCAAGCTTCTTGTGTAGTCGAACCATCTGGGCAAACTAGGAGAACCAGGAGACATATATCAGTGCGTTTCTTACCTCAGAGGAGTTTCTAAACTGGGACCCCAAGTACTAGTTTGGACCTGGAATGTCCTCAAGACTCATGTGTTAAAGCTTTGTTCTCCAGAGTGGTACTGATGTGGGGTGTGTGTGGAAATTTTAAGAGGTGTGACATTGATGGGAGATGTCATTCTGTAAATATGTTTCTCATATTGGTTAATGAATAAAGCACTGTTGGCCAATAGGAAAGCTAGATAGGAGGGACTAGGAGACAAGGAGGAAAGAGGAAGGAGTAAGGAGGAGTCAAGATGGAGAGTCTGGAGAAAGCAGAACCGCCAGCCACCTCTCCCTGGTAAGACCATGTGGAAATACATAGAAATGGATTAATAATTAAGACAGAGCTAGCTGATAAGAAACAAGTAACTGGCCAACAGCATTATATCAAATACAGAGTCTCTGTGTGTTATTTGGGGCTGGTGCGGCGGCAGGACAAGACCGGTGGCGGGCGGAAAAACTTTACTCCCTACATATGGTGCCCACGTGGCTAATAAGAACTTCCACTTAAAATTTAACAAAAGCTTAAAAAGGGGTTTTAGAAACAAAAGAACAGAGACAAGCAAGGTTTCTTGGTAGCAGCATTTTTCTCGGTTGGACTCTGCCTTGTGAAAAACAAGCAGATATTTGCGTGGCTCCTTTAAAGGAGGATTCCTGACTCAGCATAAGCAGCAAAAAACTGCATGGCTTTTAAGAAACTCTGCTAACAATTTATTGGTGTGTATCAGAGCTGGCAATGGCAGTGACCACATCTCCAAGCCAGCAACATGCTGCTTGCTGCCATGTAGACCAAGGCGGTGACCACAGCTCTCACTGCTGGTGGTAAAATAGCCGCCACCATCTTTGATAAACCATGGCTGACACAGCTATGACTTTCATTTTAGCAATGTTGTTGTTTACCAGATAAAAGACTCGTGGCCAGAAAAAGATAAACATTTACAATAAAGACAGATTCATATTAAGAAAAACCTCTAAAGGTTTACAGTGTGTTTTAAAATATACGTAGACATGGGGGAAAATGGTTTTTAAAAGACAGAGAGGACACAGAACTGGGAAGGGACAAGTCCCCCAGACCTCAGGTATAGTGGGGGAGGACAGCTAATGGAAAGAGAAGTAGGAGAAAATGAGAGGGAGGAGAGGAAGGCATATGCGACCAGGAGGATTGAGCCTGGTTAGGAATGGAAAATAGGAAAGAGAGAGAGAGACAGAGACAGAGAGAGAGAACATAAAAGAGGGAGCCAATATTGGTTTGAAGATAAAGTTGAACACAAAGAAAGGTCGAGGGAACTACAAGACTGCTCCCAACTAACAATCTCAGCTTCCGTGGAAAGGCTATCATAAATGCCCTTCCCCCGGAGAGTGAGATCAACAACTAACTTCTCCATGGAGTCCTCAACTAATGCCTGTTGAAAACAGGAGCAAACACCCATACATAAACACTGAGTCAAACTAGAACCCAGAAGCAGATGGAGAGGACAAGACCATGCGGTAGAAGTACATAGAGACAGCTTACCTGAACAAGGAGGAGCTAAGGGCCACTAGACTGATAGCTGGGAAGCCAACAGGGGTCTGACTCGGACCCCCCTGAATATGGGTTTCAGCCAGAAGGTCTGAGCAGTCTAAGAGACCTCAGACAGTGGAGCCAGGATGTATCCCTGGTGCACAAAAGGACTTTGCAAACATATCCCCCATGGAGGGATAACTGCCTTATTCTAGAGATAGGAGAGAAGCCCTAGTCCCTACTTCACAGGACCTGTCAGATCTACATGACCCCAACTGAATGGCATTCCCCTACATATTGTATTGTGGTGGGGGGTTGGGAGGGGAGGGTGTTTAGAGTGCATGGGAGAGGGTAGAGAGGGCAAAAGAGAGGGAAGGAGGGAGGGAAGGCTTGGGGGGAGGGAGGGAGGGAGAGGGAACTGGGATCAACATGTAAAATAATAAAAAAACAAAAAAAAAAAAAAAAAAAAAAAACGCTTTGACTCCAAAATTTAAGTTGAAGAACAAGTTACTGGGGAAAAGTATTTCTATTTTTGTTTCCACAGAAAATGAAAAGATGTGGATTCCTTCCAGACTAATGTGGTTTGATCACACCAGACCGCCTGAAACAGAGTACAAGCTGATCCTACATTCCCAACAGCTGGACAAAACAGCCCTACAGACTACAGCTAGGATATCTGAATCTTCTTCGAATCCCCCAAGACAGCGCCCCTTACCAGCAGGAAGTAGTTTGGAAAGAACGACGCCCAAATTCCCAAATATTGTGTATAAATGTTTGTTTTCATTTAATTGGACTTTGTTATATAAAATTAAATAAAAAATACTCTATATGCATAAAAAAATAAAAATAAAATAAAGTTAAAAAAAAAAAAGACAGAGAGGAAGTGGGTGTGGTGGCACATGCCTTTAATCCCAGCACTTGAGAGACAGAGGCAAGCAGATCTTGTGATTTCAGAGTTAACCTGGTATGCAGAGTAAATTCCAGGACAGATAAGAGTTACACAGACAAACCCTGTCTCAAAAAATAGAAAAGAAACAGAATAATAAAAAAGCCACAAATGGAAAAAATCTGGATACTGTATGGTATTATATTGTCTTTGTATTGTTTGACTGCTGAGGAAACAACAACTGTTAAAGAAAATGCTATTGGATTAATTCAATGTATATATCTTAAAAATGCTTTGATTCCAAAATTTAAGTCTAAGGACAAGTTACTGGGGAAAAGGATTTCTATTTTTGTTTCCACAGAAAATGAAAAACTGTGGATTCCTTCCCGACCAATGTGGTTTGAGCAAGCCAGACCCCCTGAAACAGAGTTCCTGGTGATCCAACATTCAAAACAGCTTGAACAAGGCAGCCTTGTAGACTACAGCCAGGATTTCTGCATCTTCTTAGGATCCCCATGACAGCGCCCCCTGTCAGCAGAAAGCAGTTTGGAAAGAATGATGCCCAAATTCCCAAATAGTGTTTATGTTTGTTTTCATTTAAATGGGGTTGGTTATAAATGGTTAATGACCACAACCAATCTTTTTAAAGATATAAAGGGGATTATGGTATAGATATGAATATTTTGTTTTGGAATGGATTTTCATTTATTGATACAATTTAAGGTCAATTTTGTGATATGTATATTTCTCCTCGTTTAGGTATTGTGTTTATATAGCTCAGTTAGAAATGTAACGTATAGGGGCGTCGTCTTCCTCACTCGCTTAGGTTGTTCCTCTGTCGGAGAGCTGTGACTCGGCCCTGCTGTTAGCAAGTTGTCTTCGGGAAATGCAAAAGTTGGGTATCCTGCCCCCAACTTCAAAGCCACAGCTGTTATGCCAGATGGACAATTCAAAGATATCACCCTAAGTGAATACAGAGGAAAATGTTGTTTTCTTCTTTTACCCCCTTAATTTTACTTTTGTGTGACCCACTGAGATCATTGCTTTCAGAATTTAAGAAACTGAACTGCCAGGTGATTGGAGCTTCTGTGGATTCTCACTTCTGTCATCTGGCATGGATTAATACACCCAAGAATCAAGGAGGATTGGGACCCAGGAACATTCCCTTGGTATCAGATCCAAAGCACACCATTGCTCAGGATTATGGTGTCTTAAAGGCTGATGAAGGTATCTCTTTCAGGGGCCTTTTTATTATCGATGATAAAGGTATCCTTCGACAGATCACTATAAATGATCTTCCTGTTGGCTGATCTGTGGATGAGATTCTGAGACTAGTCCAGGCCTTCCAGTTTACTGACAAACATGGTGAAGTGTGCCCAGCTGGCTGGAAACCTGGTAGTGATACCATCAAGCCTGATGTCCAAAAGAGCAAAGAATATTTCTCTAAGCAGAAGTGAGCACTTGGGGCCATTTTTCTGCCAGGCTGCACCAGAAAACTCTTATACTCTGTTCATGCTTAAACACAAAACAAAATGTGTGATCCAAAACATGCCTTTCCTACAGTGCTGGGGCAGTTAGCCTTTCTTCCATTATTGGGAATGGCCTGTGCTGTGTTGTGGGTAGACTGAACACCTGTTTCAGAAATCAACCTGTTCTTTTTTTAGTGTCTTATTAAATTTGAACTCCGAGAAAAAGAAATGTAACGTATAATTTAGTACAAATTATAGATAGATAATAGTCAAAACTAATAGTTAAGTTAGTTAGGTTTTCAAGATACACAGAGATGTATTTCAGATGGATAGGCAGTCTTCAAACCTTTCAAAGACCTACAGAATATGGCATTTAAAATGGTTTAGGGTTTTTCTTGACCATGAGACATACATGCTCCTGGCAACACTACCTGTGTCAGAAAGAAAGATGGACATTGAAGAAACACGTTATGCAGTTTGCTTTCAATATGGCAAGACTAGCCATTTGGACAAGATACTGCTCTTGTCTGGAGTGTTTGACTTTATGCTGTATAAACTGGACATGCAGGACCCACAGAAAAGTGACTGCTGATTCAAGATGGATATTGCTACAGAGTTCCTGCTTCATGGAAGAGTCTGCCAGACAGTCTGAAGGACACAAAGGAAAGTGACTGACAAACTGCCAATACAAGAAGACAGTTTAAAGTTTTCTGCTTTGCTGAAGAGTCTGCCAGACACACTGTGGCCATTAGGCTGAAGATGGAACATTACAGAAGAACTTCAGGTGACTGAGCAGGCACGATGTCTCTGTCATTTCTAGAGTTTATATATTATCCTTCTGTGGGCTTTGATGGAGTTGAAGACAGAGAGTTATGGTTATAGTTTCCTTAGTTAGGCTTAAAGATAAGTTACATATAGGACTTAGGACTCACAAAGATAGGATAGATGATGAAATATTTTCTTAAATCTTGCTAAATGTTAATGGACTAAATATTGTTAACTGTGATTCTTATTTGATAACTGTTGTGTGATATATTTTGCTATGTTAAGGTTAAAACCCTTCTTTTTATTTTAGACAGAAAGGAGGAGATGATGGGAGATGTCATTCTGTAAATATGTTTCTCATATTGGTTAATGAATAAAGCACTGTTGGCCAATAGGAAAGCTAGATAGGAGGGACTAGGAGACAAGGAGGAAAGAGGAAGGAGTAAGGAGGAGTCAAGATGGAGAGTCTGGAGAAAGCAGAACCGCCAGCCACCTCTCCCTGGTAAGACCATGTGGAAATACATAGAAATGGTTTAATAATTAAGACAGAGCTAGCTGATAAGAAACAAGTAACTGGCCAACAGCATTATATCAAATACAGAGTCTCTGTGTGTTATTTGGGGCTGGTGCGGCGGCAGGACAAGACCTGTGGCGGGCGGAAAAACCTTACTCCTTACATGACATAAGATGTTTTAGGTTGTTGTTAGGGGGTACTCTCAAAAGGAAGTATAGCTCCCTGGCTTCCTCCTCTTTCTTTCTTTACTTTTTAGTTCTGTGCCACAAGAGAGGGAGCTTTGCTTTGTTCCACTGTGCACTTCCATCATGATACCCTGTCTTGCCTCAAGCCCAAAGCAAGAGGGTCAATATATCATGAATTGAAACTTTGAAAACTGAGCTAAAATAAACCATTTCTTATTGTGAGTTAATTACCTTAAGTATTTGTTACAGTGCTATAAAACTAACTCACATATTAAGCTTTCAAATATGCTTACTTCCCAAAAGAGAGTGGTTCCAGATTCCCACATGTATCTATGAGCAATTCCATCTCCAGTAGAACTCTTCTTGTCACTTACCACCCAGGGTTTGTCACAGAAGTTGTAGACAGAATGCAAAGAGTTAACACTGGGGATCCCAGCATACTGCAGCCCAATGACCAAACTGCGGTAGTCTCCATTGCGAGCCATGCTGAAGGCATGCTGGCGGATCAGCACAAAGTCTGGCTTCAGAGACCTGGGTTAGGGACAAGGATAGGTGTTGAGGGGGGCACCCTCACTAGCCAGAAAGTTTCCCACTACTCTTTTGAGTTTCTAAGTATTTATAGCTTCTGGAAATTGCAAAATGTTTTCTTCCCTCTGCCCATATGCACAAGCTGGTCCTTCTGCCTGGATTATTGTTCCCACCCTTTCCCCATCTGGTGATTGATTCCTTCTCCGACTTTCCTATCTGCTGAAGTTCAGCTTGCAGCTCTACCCACTGAGCTCTGGCATATCCCTGGTCACAGGGTCTCAGATTCCCAGTTGTCTTCCAAGTATGCTGCTCAGAATAGACCGTAGCCCCAGGGGATATGTGAGCTCTTCCCTTTGCCTGCAATATTTCCCCCAGCATACCTACAGGAATCTCTCCTTCCCCTTCTTCAGGACATTCTTAACTGTTTCTTGTGCTACCTGTCCACCCTATCCAAACTGCAATCCCCATTATCATCCAACAAGCCCCACATCTGCTTTACTGTTCTGGGCTTTGCTTTGTGATTTTACATTTTCTAATTATCTGTTCATGAAACAAGTTAAGGGCAGTCAGGTTTTATATTTTTGCGGGAGTATTTTGTTTACTACTAGGTCACTCAGCATGTAGAAGAGCTCTTGGCATACAGCAGGTGCTAAATAAATATTGGTCATTGTCAAGTGCTGAGGACTGCACCTAGCATGAAGTAGATGATTAACAAATATTTATTGAATGAACAATTGAAAAGTTTCCTTGTAGCCTGCTGGCTATTAGGCGCCCCCCCCATGGCCATTTAGGAACCACCCCCCATCACATGCTGCACCAAAGATTTTGCTCACTGAAGCAAAACTCTTCCCCAGTTATAAGGGAGTCCTTTATACTTTTACCATAACACTAGTGTGCCTCTTTCATGCTCACCTCACAACTTTGACCCCATTCCGAAGAACTTCCATATCTACAGAGAATCCACCATTGGCATGAGCCACAAGATTGAGATCAGAGAATTCAGCCTGGAAAAGACAAAAAAAAAAAAAAATCAGTAATTTGCCCACATCAGGTAAGTGAAGCCCAGAAAATGGAGTTCCAAGCCCATCTGCTCAACTTACTTGCTCTACTTTAATGTCAGTTTCTCCATGGATCTTCTTCCCTTTGAAGTATTTGGCCCTGGAAAGAAATACAGGAGGGTAAACCTATCAGTGCTCAGATCTCAGGCATGAAGACCATATCTCCGCTGGTCCTTGAAGTGTTTTCCCTTTCAATGCTGGTACAGAAATCACATAATACTTTAAAATGGTAATAGTTTGTAAATTTTAATTGACAATACTCAGTGAATAATAAAGCCTGTTGTAATCTCTGTGGAAGTATGTAAAGGACATTATGAGCTGTGTTCTTAAATTATAGAGAGCAGGCATGTCCCCAAATATGGTATCTTATGACATTGCTATTCTAAATATTTCAGTAAAAGCTTTGGGAAATGAATGGTGCTGTGTCACTTATAATAGACTTTGAATTGCATGGAGGTCTGTAAATGACCACAAACCTCAGAGAGGATAAATACATGATATGTGCCTGTATGAATCTTGGTACTTGTGTCTTCAGGAGCTCAACTTGTCCCTCTTCTCTCTCCTTCACTATGAAGCACACCTTGACCATGGGTATCATCTGCTATGGGGGACTCAACAGCTATGGGTGAACACTTGCATTTGAACAGGAGCAGCCAGTTGACAGTGCAGGCTGCAGTTGGTTATAAAGAAGCTGTAGCCAGCAATGATGGGGAAGGGAGGAATGCACCCGAGGATGAGGGAAAGCCACAAGAAGAAGAGCAGGAGCAGCAGTAGTAGGCACATCACAAATTTCTTTGTGATTGTCTCTATCCCCACCCCAGCTAAGCTCAGCTTCCAGCAGCTTCCTCTCCCAGGCTCAGGATTCCTACCAGACAGGTTTTTTTTTTTTTTTTTCTTTTTCTTTCTTTCTCTCTTTCCTCTCTCCTTTTTTTTTTTTTTGTTATTATTTTTTGGTTGTTTTTTTGGAGACAAGATTTCTTTGTGTAGCCCTGGCTGTCCTGGAACTCACTTTGTAGATGACGCTGGCCTCGAACTCACAGAGATTCACCTACCTCTGCTGGGATTAAAGACATATGTCACCACTGCCCAGGCCAAATAGGCTTCTTCACAGAAGCTCCAGTCAGGATTTTCATGGAAGGGGGATGAGACAAAGAGACTCTTTTAGTTACACTGGTCACTAGCTTGTACATACTCAGCAACTCTTGTCATAAATACACTGCACAAATGGCTCCTATTGGCTTCACTGGTGTGAAATACTCAAGAACAGCTGTTTCCTTTCCCCTTTTGTGTGTGTACTGTCTCTTTTGATCTTTCTGTCCACCACATCTGTGTCTCTATTTCCCTCCCTCCATCCTTCCCTCTCTCTCTCTGTGTCTCCCCCCCCCCGTGTGGTGTGTATCTGTCTGTCTGTCTGTCTGTCTGTTTGTTTGTCTCAGTTTGTTTTTTACAATAAGTGTACTAGCTACTATAGTGTTCTGCTAAGGGTCTTCTTTGGAGCCAACAAGTCTTGGTCCTTTTGAAAGTTCATGACTTTGTTTCCACTGAGAATTCTCTTCTGCTACAGGCAACTGCCTTCGCCAAGGTGACACCTAATTTTCCTTCCTTCCTTCCTTTCTTTTTTCCTTCCCTTCTTTGAGACAAGGTCTCACTTGTAACCCTGGCTGTCCTGGAACTTGTGTATATCAGGCTGGTCTTGAACTCACAGATATCTGCCTGCCTCTGCCTCCTGAGTGCTTGGATTAGAGGTATGAGCCACCAAGTCCAGAAACAGTTAATTTCTTGAACTTAGCTCCTGACCTATTTCTGGTCTTAAAGTGGATATGAAGGTGTGCTGGCTAATTTTAATGTCAACTTGACCAAGCTAAAGTCATCAGAGAGGAGGAAACTTCAATTGAGGAAATGTCTCCTTATGATTGGGCTGCAGGCAAACCTGTAGGTCATCTTCTTAATTAGTGATTGGCGTAGGAGGGCCCAGTTCACTACCCCTGGGCTAGTGTTCCTGGGTTCTATGAGAAAGCAGGCTAGTTTTTGTGCACTCTTTGCTTTTGCTATGTTTGTTGAGCATGGCCAACAGTGCCGAGTGCCTGTCACCAAGCCTCAGAAAATTGAGGAAATCCAGAAATTTCTGCTCACAGCCCAGCAGAAGGATGAAAATTCCATCAAGATCAAGAAGAACAAGGAGGCCTGGCAGTGGTGGCTTGTGCCTTTAATCGCAGAACTGGGTGGGGGAGGGGACAGGGGTGGTGGTGGTGGTAAAGGCAGGAGGATCTCTGTGAGTTTGAGGCAGCCTGGCCTACAAAGTGAGTTTCAGGACAGCCAGGGCTGTTACACAGAGAAAGTCTGTCTCAAAAACAAACGAAAAACAAAGGAAGAGGACAGTGTCAAGTTCAAGGTTCACTGTAGCAGATACTTTTACATTCTATTCATCACAAACAAGGAGAAGGCAGAGAAGCTTGAACTCCTTGTGTGGCAGTGAAGGAGTTGAACTGAACTAGACTTCTGCAATTGGCTATTAACAAGAACTCTGAAAAGTTAAAAAAAAAAAAATAGAAAGAAATAAGGGAAGAAGGCCAAACAGCTACAGGGAGCAAGCCAGTAAGCAGCACTCTTCCATAACCTGCCCTCTTTGAATTTCTATTCTGACTTCTTTCAATGATGGACTACAATATGGAAGTGTAAGCCAAATAAACCCCTTCCTTCCCAACTTGCTTTTAGTCATGGTGTTTCATCACACCCATGATAACTCTTTAAGTCAGAAGGGTAGCTTTGCTGACTCTAAAGGGGCATCTCAGCTCCAGAGCACCCCCTAGGAACAGCTGAGGCCTCTGACTTGATGATGGCCTAGACTCTTCTTTGCTCAACTCTATATACTTTTTACAGTGTTGATATAAAAGGCATAGCCGTAGGCCTTCTGCATGAAAACTCTCTGCCTCTCCAGTCTGTTGTTCTATGAAGCCAACGTGTAACACTGGGCCATAGGTAGGAGTCAAACTACAGAAGAAGACCCTTAACATGATTCTGTAGCTGGGTCATTCAGCACTCAGTTGGAAGTGAGCATCCTTAGTGGCAGAAGATGTAGTACAGACAGCTTATAATATACTGCAGTCACATAAATTCCTCTGTAGCAGGACCAGTTTGTGCTGCAAGGAGATGCCATATTATTGGGCAGGCCCTATGACACTGGAGGTCAGTGGCAAAAGATGGAATATGGTATTTTTTTTTCTTGAGTAGTGAAGAGTGACACAACTGGCCCCTGGTGTTTGGGAGCAGCAGTGACTTTTCCTGATGATGGACTGCAACCGGAATCTGGTGGAGGAAAGTGAAGCAGCTGGTAAAATATCCTTGACACTTGACAGATGTGAGGGAAATGGTAACCAGATTGGGGTAACTGCTTGTTAAATGACAATGGTTAACTGCAGACAGATACAATACACTGACAGTGAATAACTGCCAATTCAAGGCAAAATGTGAAAGGCAGAGGATGCCCCTTTTTAAAGAAAACTTGATCTGCTGCCAGAGAGCAGACAGAAGGGAGGATCAGGCTCAGGATTTAAGTATAGTGGATAGGACACGAGGTTTGGGAAAAGGATGCCCTTCTGTATGCTATGAATATATGTTTCTCTTATTGGTTGATAAATAAAGCTGTTTCAGCCAATGGACAGGCAGGATTTAGCCAGGTGGGAAATCCAAATAGGGATAGAGACAGGAGTCAGATAGATGCCAAGTGGCTACCAGGAAGATTGGATGCTGGGTATTCTCCGGTAACTTAAGACCATGTGGAGATACATAGATTAATAGAAATGGGTTAACAATTAAGAGAGAGCTAGCCAATAAGAAGCCTGAGCCATTGACCAAACAGTTTATAATTAATGTAAGTCTCTGTGTGTTTATTTGGGACTGAATGGCCACAGGACCAGGAGGGACAGAAACTTCCATCTACAGATAAAAGCAGGTAAACATCCTGAGCCACTTGAATCCACTATAACAGCTAAAGCAGTCTACTCACTTTTATTACATAGAAACCTTCCTTCTAGAGGATCAGAGTTGAATGCCATCTTCAGCTACATAGCAAGTTTGAGGCTGTTGTAAGCTACATGAGATCCTGTTTCACAAACCCCTGTGGGAAACAAACAAAACCACACCAAAACACCACCCACTTTATGAAGCACTGACTGTCAGCTTTACATTTTGTTGGTTTCTTGGCTAAAAACTAAACTGATTACATTTTTGTTTGTTTTTCAATACTAAAGGAGATGGTGAAAATACTGGAAACTGTTCTTGGTGTTCAGTAAAGTTTACTTTAAATTAGTATATGTACAAATCATTGTTGATTTTTTTTTATTGTGTTCTACAGGTAAGATGATTTTCCCATTTTGTCAGTTTGTCAGCATCCTTTCTATGTATTGATGTATTTGTGAACTTGTTTTTTTTTTGGGGGGGTACATGTGAATTTTTGTGAAGGCCAGAGATCCATGTCATGTGTTACCTCTTTCCACCTCACTTTTTGGTACACAATTTCTCACTGAATACGGGCCTTACAAGACTGTATGGCTGGCAGGCCTCAGTGATTATCCTGCCTCCCTCTCTTGCCAGCACTAGGACTGAGCTACTCTGCTGGGCTTTTCTGGTACAACAGATCTGAGCTCAGGTCTCCAGCTGCACCTAAGTTCCATACTGAACTATCTCCACTATCTCCCAGTTCTACCCGCCTTTTTCTTACTACACGGCAGCTTGCCAGTTGGTGGATGAACACAGAATCTCCAGACTGCATGTCTTCCAGGGATTTCCCCTGGCTGACTGCTCCCACATGTAATCCAACAGACTGAAGGAAGGCGTTTTCAAACCCTGTTTATTACATCTGCCTCTCTGCATAAGACCCGCCTTTCCACATGTACCACTGTGGTGATTCTGCCATATTACTGTCTGTCCTTGGCCCCTTCCTTGCAGCTCACTCAAATCGTCTTAAATAACTCTTGTAATGGGAGATGCCATTATGTATATATGTTTCTCATACTGGTTAATGAATAAAGCACTGTTGGCCAATAGGAAAGGAGATAGGAGGGACTAGGAGACAAGGAGGAAAGAGGAAGTGGTAAGGAG